AATAGGCTGGTGAGGACCCTGCTCGAAGGAGCTAACAATCTATATATAGTAGAAGAAAGATAAATACTATGAGAACTATATATTCTGAGAACCAGGGATAGTATATATTTGAAGCCATTAAGGGATCACTATAGTGTCAGGAAAACAAAGCGGTTTTCCTGACACTATAGTGCCCTGAGGGTGCCCCCACCCTCAGGGTCTCCCTCCCGTGGTGCTGGAGGGGTTAAAACCCTTTCAGCAGCTTACCTTATTCCAGCGCCGGGTTCCCTCAGCGCTGGTGACCTTTCCTCCCCCGCCGATGTCAGCTCCCTTGGCCGACGTCAGAGGAGCCGAATGCGCATTTCTCAATGCTTTCCTATGGAAGCTCTGCGCGATAGAGGACATAATATGCCGGAAGACAGCCACTAGAGGCTGGCTTTACTCCAAATGTAAACATAGCAGTTTCTGTGAAACTGCTATGTTTGCATCTGAAGGGTTAAAACCGGAGGGACCTGGCACCCAGGCCACTTAATTGAGCTGAAGTGGTCTGGTTGGCTATAGTGTCCCTTCAACTGTATGCATACGAAAAGCAAAACAAATGGAATAAAGCGGAAGTCCAAGCACCCTAACAATCTATGTTCCTTCCATAGTTAGATCGTAACCTAGGTTGAAAAAAGAAAAATTCATGAAACCCTGAAACCCATTCTTATATGCTACAGTTCCAAAATAAGTAAAAAAAAAAAACAACTGTGGCCATTTCCAATTATGCCACAAATAAAGGGGGGAATTCATTCTTGCCTCCATAGCGGCAATCAGATGTCTCCTTGGATCAGCAATCTGTTTATATACATGTCAATTATATCCTTAAATATTCTGTTTGTGCAATAAAGCATCCAGCCCTTTTTAAAAATGTATCTATAGAATTTGATAATACAACCTCTTTAGGCAGAGAATTCCACCTCTGTATTGTTCTTACTGTAAACAACCCTTTCTTCTGCTGTAAGTGAAAACTCCTTTCTTCCAGTCTCAATGGGCGACCTCTCGTCTGTTGTATATTCCTGCTAATGAACAGGTTAGCACATTTTGTACTGACCCGGTATATATTTATATAGTGCCCTCCTACCATTTCTGAGGTGCCTTTTGTTCTAAAAAAAAAATCAATTTTTTCTAGCCTTTCCACGTAACTAATGTTTTTCATTCCCCTTACTAGTCCTGAAAAATCCTTCTTTAAAACGGATGCCCAAATTGCACCACATACTCAGTGTGGGGTCTTACAAGTGATTTATAAACAGGCAAAATGACATATTTTGATCAATGCCCCTTTTTATATATGATAATACCTTACTGTCTAGTACCTCAGCAGACTGACATTGCATACTGTCGTCTAGTTTTGTGACCTATAATTATCCCCAAATTCATTTCATTTAATATTATGGGGGAATAATAAGGGAAATTTTACAAATGTGAAATACAGAGCTTAACAGGAACTCACTATTAACAAATCGCATTATTATCAATATACTAACAAGAACAAAATTGATAATAATGCGATAAGGTGTTGGTCGCAGCAATTATCACAATGGAGCTTCCCTTTACAGACATGACTGGCCTGCATTCCTTCAAGCAAGAGACAGCAGCGCCACCTGGTGTACACAACATGCAGCACCCGCAGCCACACCAACTAGGACGTTACTTAGAAGGCATAATTATAAGATTATAATATTTATAGGAAGTCAGATCATTTCTCACTTTTTATTACTTTTCACACCTGGATACGCAGCTATAGGTTAAAAGAAAATTGAAAACAGTTTTATGTCACTTAGTGAAACATCATTTCAGATGTTCAAGGTGAGCACCAAGTGGCACTGTGCCGGGTGGCCCTACAAGTGTCTGAGCAATGAAATCTGCCTGGAGGACAATACCGTGCCAAAATGGACATCTTCCAACACGTTATTTGTTTCATACAATACATTCTACCATCAGATTGATGTGCGGTGGAAATCCAAAGAAATGGGTCAATATCGGGATTTAGAATAAACTCTATGTTGTTGTCTGTGATGTTTGAATGCTGAGATGTATGTATAGATGCACACACTAACAGCCCATGTAGAAACTCAGACACACATACAGAAACACAGACCCACATTCAGATACACAGACAGACACACTGATGGACACACTGACACACATGCAGATACTCAGACACACACACTGATGGACACACTGACACACATGCAGATACTCAGACAAACATACAGATACACAGACACACACTGATGGACACACTGATATACATACAGATACACAGACACACATACAGATACAAAGACAGACACACCGATTGACACACTGACACCCATGCAAATACTCAAACACACATACACAGACACACACACTGATGGACACACTGACACACATAGAAACATAGAATGTGAGGGCAGATAAGAACCATTCGGACCATCTAGTCTGCCCAAGATACTCAGACACACATGCAGATACACAGACAGACACACTGATGGACACACTGACACCCATGCAGATACTCAGACACACACACTGATGGACACACTGACACACATGCAGATACTCAGACACACATATAGATACACAGACAGACACACTGACACCCATGCAGATACTCAGACACACATGCAGATACACAGACACACACACTGATGGACACACTGACACCCATGCAGATACACAGACACATACTGATGGACACACTGACACACATAGAAACATAGAATGTGACGGCAGATAAGAACCATTCGGACCATCTAGTCTGCCCAAGATACTCAGACACACATACAGATACACAGACAGACACACTGATGGAAACACTGACACCCATGCAGATGCTCAGACACACATACAGATATACAGACAGACACACTGATGGACACACTGACACCCATGCAGATACACAGAATGACACTCATACTGATACAAACACTTACACACAAATACAAAGGGCACAATGACATGCATGCAAATACACAGACATACTGACCTATACACAGAGAGACAGATATACAGACACAGAAACAGATACATATTCAAAATGTTAATTTTTAGTCACCCTCCTGTTTCCTACCTTTTTGGAGGCGACTCTCCAAATCTGTGCTCCCCTCTCAGCCTCCCTCCCCCGCGGTTCCTGTCTCTCTGGGAGGAAAACAATGGCTATTTATCACATCCTCCCAGCACTGCCATCATTAAAGGGAGCGCTGACCCTGGGCCCCTGAGAACACCCCTAACTAACTGCATGGGCCCTCTCAGCATATAAAATATAATAATATAATAATCACTATCCTATTACCTGGTAATAATATAAAAATCACTATCCCATTACCTGATAATAATCACTATCCAATTTCCTGGTCATAATATAATACTCACTATTCTATTACCTGGTAATAATATAATACTCACTATCCCATTCCCTGGTTATAATATAATACTCACTATCCTATTACCTGGTTATAATACAAAACTCACTATCCCATTACCTGGTTATAATATGATACTCACTACCCCATTACCTGGGTATAATATAATACTCACTATCCTATTACCAGGTTATAATATAATACTCAATATCCTATTACCTGGTTATAATATAATACTCACTATCCTATTACCTGGTTATAATATAATAATCACTATCCTATTTCCGGGTTATAATATAATACTCACTATCCTATTACC